AACTAGTACTAATGCATCATAACTATAGTAAAAATATCTATTCTGTCTAATATGTATTCTAGTCTTATACTTGTTAACTGATAGAGTATACTTGATATAATAATATTGGAGCTTTATGATCTTTATTTATCATCTTTAAATTGTCTCTATATTTATAGTATTTATATAGTATTATAATTGTATATTATTTAATTCAGAGTAATCGCTCTCTTTTTCGCTACGTTTATCTTCCACAAGAGTCAAGAATTGTGAATAATGTTATTATATGTATATAGAAAATTTTCGAATATATCATTTTAAAGAAATTTTTGAACATTCGATTTGAAATGAACCGATAATAGCATGGATAATTATTGAGATACTATTATTCCAAGTGTTGTTATCTAACACTACTGTGAAATTGTACAAATTATAAGATAAATCATATGAGTGATCATCTATAATTTATTACTATAACATGATACAAGCATATTAACTTGTAATTTATCTCATCATCTTATATTAATAAAGCTGGCAGTAAACAGTAATTTGTAATACTATTTTTCCAATTGTCTGATATTGATAACATGCTACAAGTTATGTTGCAACTTGTCAGTATTCACCAGTCTATGTATTTAAGACAGCATATGACTCCAAAAATTTCCTAATACTTTATCATTATTGATTATCAAGGAAAAGAATTTAGTGAGAAAAACATAGAAATGTTTAGATTTTGAAATTTTAAATAATTCAAGAAGATTGAAACTACAGGATTTCTATAGGGGAAACTATAATTCGTTCAACAAAACAAAGAAACTTCGCTTGAAGAACCGTTTTCTTCTTTCGTAACATAGTTTAAAAAGAAAAAAGAAATGCTTTAATTCGTGAACGTTATTAACATTTTTGCCAAAGAATCTTGATGAAAATCATCACATTTATACAATTCGGAGCACGTGCTCTACACGAGTTATCATTTGCGGTTTGCATCGCTAGGGGAAAGGTGGGAGGAAGTGGAAAACTAGAGAAAGTAGGAGGTGCGCGTGATTTAGCCCCCTTTAATAGGATGGGCGTCCGCCAAAACGTTCCCGCGTACGCCCCTGCCGAATGACGCCCCAGCCAGCTGCCGCCGAGCTTGATTGGCCGGCGACGACAGCGATCAGTCGCGCGAACCTTGGTCAACCAATCGACGAACCCGTGCCATCGTGGCAACTGTACGGCGACGTTGCCATGTTGTTGTTTCACGAACCGCCCATTGGCCCCGTGTTCGTGAGTAGGTGCACTCGCACTCTCCAACTTAGCCCCCGTTAAGGCGATATTTGTGAGTGTTCGTTTGTGCCGTTTCCCCAAGTGCGGATAGACGATAAACGGGGACGCGTGCGGTGGGCGTAGATCACGCGTGTCACGTGTCAGTTGATTCTCGGTTAAATGAATCTTGCGTTTGTCAAGTGCCTCTCTGTCAGATTCGTTTTGTCGCTCGGCAGCAATACCGTGCGCGTCCTGTAATTCGATGACGCGGTGGCAACGATATATTTGTAGAAACGTTAAATACCAGCACGCAAAATCCGAATCCGAATCAAAGTTGAAGTCGATTCGAAAGCCCGATAATATCCCGCGTAATCGCTCGATCTACAAATCGAACTACGTGAAGTAAGCTACAGGGACTACAGAATAATTGCTACGACAAAAGTGCGCGGACGCGCAGCTACGGTGACGAACGCGGCGTCGCGTAGCACGTGCGGATGTATGCGTGTGTACGCGCGCGCGCGCGCGCGAGCGGCCCGCAGGAGCGAAGACGAGCGAGGTAATCGCGTTGGGACTGAACTATCGCGTGAATCATTTCGTTACGATTACACGTGCCATTTTCATTGATGAATTATGAACGGAATGGCTCCGTCGATTATTATTACTCGTGTCAAATCAGTCCTTTGTAAGCGAACGCATTTTATTTCGTAACCGAAACGTACTACGACGCATGGTCTCGTGTATATTCGTTACTGATGATATTTATCGGATTAGCAGTGTGAGTGACGCGACGCGTGTCAATAGTAATAGTGATGTCGGTGTAACTTGGCACCTGGCGTCCTGGCTTGATATAACAGTTTGCCATAGTGTAAGTAGCTTCCGCAAGGACAACACCACGTGTTTGTTTCCACGTTAGGTGGAGTCTCCCGTATGCAAGGTGGGTGGAGGCTGGACATTACAAGTCTGCCTTCCCTGTTATCACGGGCGCCGCCGCAAGAGCGCAAACGAGCGGCAGACAGTCGAGTGGGCGGTGTGACGACGGGCGCTCACTTTGTCGTTGTGTTGGTGCGCGTGCTTCGATGTGAATCGGGTGGGGCGGTGGGTAAGCAGGGGCGTAAGGAGGCGGTCCTCGGTCGGGTTCTCGAGGAGGATACTCGTTGCTCGCGACGGCCTTCTTTGTTCCCTTATTGGGGCGAGAGAAAGAAGGAGAGAGAGAGAGAGAGAGAGAGAACACTTCGCTTTTTACGCGCACGTTGCTGTCCTCTAGATGTAACGTGTTCAAGAGTCTGCGGCTGTGATTCCTTCGAGTCAAAAAATTACTCTCTTTAAATCCTTAAATTCAAAATTTCATTGTTTTTAACGTATATTTAACATATATTTTACTTGGAATTTATCCCTTGTTAAATTATTTTCTTAATTAGAGTTGCTTTAATTTTCTAATACACGCTACTTTATATTTAGATTGTCAATAGACAATCTTATAAAAATTATATTTCTTTGTAGGAACGTCTAGAACAACATAAGCTTGCAGTAAGAAAATTACTGACGTACTTATACATTATTACAATATAGAAATAAGTACACTCGATATGAAATGACAAGAGATTCGTTGTTATAAATTGTATGCATCATAAAACGCAATCACCATGAAACGAAGTATAGATGGAAGGAATCTTTCACAAGTAAGAATGCTCATTATGTTACATTTTAATTCTTAATATCTTACAAAATTTTCTACAAGTTCATTATATAATGTGAATTTTACCATATTAGAAATAGAAAAAGTATGCAGGATGATCAAACAAACAGCATAATTATTTATAGGATGAGATTGATGAACATGATCCATTGCAAACTCAACAACAACAGCAGCAAGATGAAGCAGATCAACAACAGTTAGAGCAACAGCAGCAAACTGCCCAACCACAGATTCGTTTTTTAAGCGCCAATGTATTACAGCAATTGCAGCAACAACAAGATGTTCAACAAGCTCAACAACAGCAACCACAAGTTATTACCCTGCAAAATTTTGTGCCTTTACAAGCTCAACAATCACAACACGATCAGCAAAGAGCGCAAACAATCTCTGTCCAATCACTACCTCATCAATTTTTACAGGTATATAAAACGAATATACTATCATAGTTTATTGTATTAAAAATATTGTGTACTACAAATATTTTATTTGTTTACTGGGTTTTAATTTGTAAGTATATTTATTTTGTAGGGTGCTCAGATTATTAGCAGTGCTCAGGCACAAGCGGCTATTCATCAACAGCAGCAGCAGCAGCAGCAGCAGCAACAACAGCAGCAGCAACAGAGTCAACAGCAGTCTCAGCAACAACAGCAGGCTCAACAACAAACGCAACAACAGCTCAGCTATAGTGTAATCCCACAAATGCAGACTGTTAATATAGATGGTCAGGAAGCTTTGTTCATTCCATCCTCTGCGATGTCCGCAACGGGTGGCCATCATCAGGCACAACCAACAATGCAATTTGCTACTACGAATGGTCAGCAGATGCAACTCACAGGCCAGCAAGTTCAATTAGCAAACGGTCAAACTATTATCACACCGCAGCCAGTTAATCTCATAAGAACACCGAACGTCTTTCCCACCTCTATTATACAAAATATCACAGGACAAACAGTTCAATTACCAACAGGTATTTATTGCAATTGCTATTACATGCTCGCTCTATTTTATAAAAATCGTTTTGTATATAATATATACATTTTCATAATCGAATTTTTCTAATTATATATACCTAAAAAATTTTAGTATTCAAGTAAAATGATTGAGTATTCCCCTCCTTTCTTTCTCTCTTCCCTCCTCCCTCTCTTTCTCTATATATGATACAGGTCAAAGCGTTCAAGTAAGACCGCTCCAATTTCCTATGCAACATGTTCAGCAAGCAGTACCTGTGCAATTACCAGTCGCTACCAATAACAATGGACAAACTGTTTATCAAACTGTACATCTTCCTGTACAATCTCTGTCTAGTGTTTTCAATATGCCTACGACGCAAATGATACCCCAAATTATGCAAGTAAGTTATAATGAATATCGTAGTAACGGTAAAATATATAAGATAATTGTTTTAATTCTAGCAAATACCTCAAGTGGCACAGATAATTACGCCGAGTGGTCAGATTCAGCAAGTGCAAATTGCTAGTTTACCTCAGTTACAAAATCTTCAGGTCAATATAAAACATTAAAATTTAACATTTAACAAAATTACAATGATTACTATCTCTATAATTTTGTTAAATAAACATTTTAATATTTATTATAGAGTCAGCAAGTAACGCAAGTTGCACAGCAAGCACAGCAGCAAGTCGTCCAACAACAAACCCAACAGCAAGTGGTACAATCAGTGCAACAGCAACAACAAGTTGCTCAAGCTCAAGTGCAGCAACAGCAACAAGTACAACAAGTGGTGCAACAGGTAATACAACAACCATCTCAACAACAACAGCAGCAGCCGCAACAGCAACAGCAGCAAATACAACAATCATCTGCTCCATCATCAACAGTAGCGACTTGGAGCACAACAGTTGCAACGCCTAGCAATGTTCAAGTAATACATTTCCAAATTTTCAAATACTAATATATTAATGATACAGTTGTTCTAACATAATATGCGTGTTTTAGGTACTTGGTATAGGTACGTTAGGAAGAAATATAACGGGAAGCAACGTAATTACGACTAAAGATGGCCAAAAGATCGATGTGCAAACATTATCTACTTTAACAAGACCGCCTGAAACAGTAGAGGGTGACATCAAAGTAACTAATATCGATGCCAGTCAATTAACTAGTGGGCAAGTAATACATATCCCCGCTACACAATCGACCCAACCTACAGTACAACCTATTACGATTACAGGTAAAATGTATCGATTTTTATGTTGTGCATACATCTATTGATGTATACACACACCAATTGCGCGTGCGTG